CAGAAAAAAGTTCAGAGAAGCTATGTCTAGCCTACAGAGTTTTTTCGAAAAAAGTGGCCTTTTTTTGAAGAAACTTCACCGGCTTCTAGACTGCTCCCACATTTTTTCAAAATTAAATCAAAGAACATGGCGGTTTTTTCAACAGCCGTAAACCTCATTTTACGAGGAAGAACACCTTTTTTCAAAAGTGCTCTTTCAAAAAAAGGCATTCTTGTCCGCAAACAGGGCTTTTTTGAAAGAGAACTTCCAGATTGCCCGGGTGCTCTCTTTCGAAAAAGTGGATCGCTTTTTTAAAAAAGTTGTGTCTGTCTAGACGATCTCTTTCGAAAGAAGCTTATTCTTTCAAAAAAGCTTATTTCGAAAGAAGTATGTAGTCTAGATGTACCCAAGAAGAACAGAAACAACATAGACTGGGAATGAGACTAGACACTGAAATGTGCAAGTTCTAAAACTGATTAAAAAATTAAAATCAAAATTCACTCCCCTCCTCTCAACATTTTAAAAGAGTTTGCAAGGATTTCCTATTTTCCTTTTTTTTTTTTAAACACAACCCATTCAGCTAACATTTACACGCGGCACGGAATAGCTACACGCAGCACGGAATAGGTAGTTCGAATTAGGCTCTCTAATTCGAACTATCGGTACACCTCGTACTGCAGCCCCTCACTTTAAATTCCCCGCGGCCATCAGGACATAATAGGGCAGTAGTGTTGAATTTAAAATACATGGGAGGATGCTTATTTTTAGTGAGAAAATATTACTGTATTTTCAAAGGGTTTTTTTTATGTGATGTTTGTTCCTTGTCAAGTTCTCTGAAGATCTATGGGCTGGCCGTGAATTGTTTAATGACTAAAGACTTTTTATTGGTTTTTATCCAAAATGTCCTGTAATGTTATTTTTATCACTGCATTTTGTGTACTATATCTATCTATTTATCTAGATAGATAGATAGATAAAAATAAATATATAAAAATAGCCCTTTGCACTCTATCCACAGTTATTTTGGCTCTTAGTCTCTAAGGGTATGTCTACATTTGTACCCTAGTTTGAACTAGGGATGCAAATGTAGGCGATCAAAATTGCTAATGAAGCGGGGATTTAAATATCCTGAGCTTCATTAGCATGATCTCGCCGGCACGCTAGTTCGAATCACAGCTGATTCAAACCAAGAAGTGTGCACCGGGACACGTTAGTTCGAACCAAAGCCCTTGGTTCGAACTTATGTTAGTTCTTAAAAAATGAGGAGTAACATTAGTTCGAACCAAGGGCTTTGGTTCGAACTAACGTGTCCCGGTGCGCACTTCCTGGTTCGAATCAGCTGTGATTCAAACTAGCGCACCAGCGAGATCATGCTAATGGAGTGCGGAATATTTAAATCCTGGCTTTATTAGCTTCTTCGCTCATCTGCATTTGCATACGCTAACTGGTTGCCCATCCCTTCTTTAGTGTGTTAGAACTATCTATGCATTTTTTTGTTATTTTAAATTTGTAATCTGCTTTGCTCTGCCTGTTTTTATTTGTAACTACTAAAAACCTACTTAAACAAATCACTTTAATTTACTATCAGCCCAGTGTAAATAATTGTTACCTGGGAAGCAATCAGTGTGTACATCCCTCTTTCAGGGGGCTTGCCTGAATGGTTTATTTGCAGTTTTGATCCCTTTTGGGGTTTGGGTCCCAGGAGCTGTGCCTGAAACTGCATTATTCTCAGGCCTGAAGAGATTCAGTGTCTATATTGCTCTTTGGGGTGGGGGGGGTGGAAAGGAGGGCAGTAATCTCAGCTCTGTGCCTTAGCTGGGGGAGACCTTGATATGACATGGTGGTGGGAAGTCCCAGAGAGCAAGGTGGCAAGTGTCAGTGGCTTTACCAGCATGCTGGGAAGCATCCCCAAGGGGTTTTCTGTGACTGCACCCCATCACACGTGTCGAGCCCATAGGCCACTTACTGTACAGCTGTGCACTACAGCATCTTTCCTCACTCCTCACATTTCCCATTTTTGGTAGGCAGAATAAAGGCAAACTATTCATGTTTGATCTATAAGGAAAATCATTCAGAGTGAAACTACAAGCTTACTTTTTATAAATAGAAGCTCTGAGACAGATCCTCAGATGATAGATGTTGTCAGAGCTCCTTTGCAGTCAGAACCGAGACAATTTGCAGCAGCTGTGGTCATCTCCCCTCTGGGACTAAATTTTCTCACCTGTGATCAGGGATATTACCTGTTTTCTTCCTTAGGCAGCTGTGAAGTTAACTTAATGCTTGGAAATCGAAAGCCCTATGAAAGTAATAATAATCATTCTTAGATGCATTTACTTTCCATTTTAATTTCTGCTGTACAGATGAGGAAACATGATCTTCAGGATGTGTTTTAACTCTACCAAGGCCAGACCGAGCCATTCCGGCGCCCTGGGCAGACAGTTTAATTGCGCCCCGGGTTGGGGGAGGGCGTATGCGCGGCCCCGCCCCCGTGCGTGGGACAGAAAGTAATAATAATCATTCTTAGATGCATTTACTTTCCATTTTAATTTCTGCTGTACAGATGAGGAAACATGATCTTCAGGATGTGTTTTAACTCTACCAAGGCCAGACCGAGCCATTCCGGCGCCCTGGGCAGACAGTTTAATTGCGCCCCGGGTTGGGGGAGGGCGTATGCGCGGCCCCGCCCCCGTGCGTGGGACAGGGTACGCAGAGCTGGCAGCGGCAGGACACGTGCCCAGCCCAGCCTGGCTACTGCCGTTGGTGTTCAGGGCCGAGCCTGGCCATGCAGGGCCCTGTGGCGGTGGGGGGAAG